AAGACAACAATGATTTACTTCACATTTACATAGAAGAAATATTCAGATTAGTATTTTGACCACAAACATTGTTTCACCAAATAAGAGTCTACTAACATTTAGATCAACATCTCGCAATATGTCACTCAAAAATATATCGCTTAAATAGGTCCATTTTAAAGATATCGTTTTTTACTACAGCATAGCAGAATGTATTTGAATATTACGTAACAAAAAAATTAATTGTGCAACAGAAAAGATAAATGCATATAAATGTAAGTTGTCTTTGACCAAAATATCTTTTGAACAATTTGATAAATCTATAAATACGATAATATTCAGGGAACAACTATGTTAAATTATTTTCATACAACAAGTTACAGAGCACTTTTTTAAAATTTTCAATCGATTTTCCAGTAATCCATACTTAGAGGATTATTTTTATGATATTTTTATTTCATCTGAAGAGATTAGATTTGATAAAAAAACAAGATCAGTACATGCTTGTTGGTCATCTTCACTATAGTTTACTCAATTTATGAGTAGTACTGTTAACAGCCACGATCTTTCATTCTTGTTGTCTAACTTTTTTTTGTATATTTCTTTCCATCTAAGGTTCCGTTACAACCAAATTCAGTGAGACTTCAAGCACAGTGCATGAATGAAAAGTTAATTGAAAAATGTCATTGGTGTTGAGACGCAGTAACGCTAATAACATTTCTTATTTCACTTTTATTGCTCATAGTGTGTTAGGGAACTTATTGTAAAAATGTTCGCCTATTTCTCTTTTCCTTTTATGCATCCGATTTATATTTGATGACGATGCATGTAATAATGAATTTGAGTCGAAAAAAAACTAAGACATGCAGTATTTTCATTGAATAAATCTTTTTATAGACGGCTTGTTGCTTCTAATTATGAACTGAAAAATTCTTTTTGAATTAATCTCACGTCAGTTGTTTCTTTATAAAGCATCAAAATTATCTGATAGATGGTGCTTACAAGGATAAGTAATACTTAGGCATGTCCTCACAAATGATGAATTTCACACAAGAAAACTTCAGATGCGTTAATAAAAAAAAGAAGAAAAAATTAAAAATTTTGTCAAATGAAAGTGTTTTTGATATACCGATGTGCATTTCTTGTTAGAAATACCCGAACAGGTAGTCCTAGGGGACTATATGACGCCTTGAAGCAAACAAACAAAAAGTATACCTCACTCTCTATCCGACAATCAGTGTCACATTGCCAAGTCTCGTTGACAACTCTACTTGAATCTTTGTTATTAATATATCAACTGTTTAGATTGACATTTTAAAAAATTAGTCGAACTCACATTTTCTTTTTTTCGATACGAAAGCCTTTTTCTATTCATTTATTTGTATTAACAATTTTATCATAATCATACCATTCTATTGCACATTTCTCACTAATTTTTTGCTGAGAATTCTAAAGATGTCAGACAAGATATATTCTTGTAACTGAAGCAAAAGTCGAAGTATAGTGCACGTACTCAATGGCTATATTACATTCTAACAAAACACTAGGTATATATGACTAGAATAAGTGTCTGGATATCAACTATACTTTGACTTTAACTGTATTGATAGTCTAATATCTTTTTTAAATTCGTTAAGAGTTTTAGCATAGACGTCATTGATAAATGTGTCATAAAATGATGTAAACATGATAAAGTAATTACTATAGATAGATGAATAGAAAAAAATTCTTGTAGAGAATAAAATACGTTTTCATAGCAAGGAAACATATTTTATGAAATGCATTTTCTCACGGTTTATTTGCTTTTTTTTCGTGGAAAGAAATGCATTCCAAAACGTTTGAAAAAAAAGCGTTTAAAGTATAGCGACAGTATGCGTGTTCATCAAAGAATGCATTGAAACGTAGAAATTTTCCTATTTTTTTCATGCATTTCGACGAGCTAATCACTAAGCTATGATGCACGATACAGTTCATATGAAATAGTTTTGTCGAAAAAGACTTTTTTGCGTAGGTTTCATTCAGATTAATTGAAGATATTCTACTAAATTTATGACATCAAAAAAAAAATTATGGAAAGTAATTAGCAGTACAATACTTTTCAATATTCACTGAATAACTCTGTATATTGATACTTTCTTCAGAGTTAAACTAAAGGACGAAGAATAAATAGATTAGCATGTTGTTTCATAGAAGACTGTGTATCATTTAGAAGTTTAGTTCCGTGATAGCGAAATATTAAATTTAATTTTATATGAGTTTTAACACATTCATAGCATATTTCCATGCAAAACTATTTAGTCATCTCATAAATAGTTGATTGCAAGAGGCCATAAGTTCCATGATTCATTTTGCCTTTTGATTATGGTGTGCCCGTTTCATTTGTAGGCAAATGCTTTGTTTTTCGTACACAATCGGGACATGTCCATTTTACTTAACGTGGTTAACAAAAAAACTAGATACTTTTTGTCTTGTAAGAGATTTCAGCTTCAGCGAAATTTGAGGTTTTTCTGACGAGCTAGTCTATTTAATTATTTCAATGGATAGATGGGACAAAACTGAATAGTTTGTATAAAAAATATATCTTGTCGCCATTTAACGATAATTAAGAAGGAAACAAAAAATTCTTTGTTATCCAATGTTCCATTTTAATGCATTGAATTGTCCTATGTGGATAAATAATCTATCTGTTCTTGTCAGGTGGATAATCTAAATGAATGTTTCTTTTGAATGAATGACCCATTAATCTTGCACGATATTCTTCAAAACAACAGGGATCAATTCAATGTCTAAATGGTAACTCTTTCAGAATAATTCCAATGAATCCATATTCTTATGATCATTGAAGTATACAACAAAGAATTTGTAAAAGATTTTCTATCAAACTGAACAACAAGAATAGTGTTTTCTAAAGATGAGAAACTTCTACCCATTGAGCATTGATAATTTCATTCAATTACTTAGCAAAGAATTTACTAAACAATGAATTATCGAAAATTGTATAACTCATAGTAAAAACATCTGCTTACAAAAAATTATTATTTGCATGAAAATTACAACATTCCATGCTGCTTTTTTCGGTGGAGCATCAAATGATCAAATATATTAGAAACTATCATTTTTGATATTTTTATTTTTATTTCAATAAAATAGTGTTTACAAGTGTTGAATCCTACAGAGTCAATAGCCAACATCTCTTCTCCTCCTAATGTCAGTAACAGGCACCCGTATTTTATGCTTTGCAGAGTAAAAGGAAATAAAAGTACACAGAAAACGATGCATAATGAAAAATGTCAATTGTCGACCTCTATATCTTCTCAATCAAAACTCTCTTAAAGAAAACGTCTTTCTCGATGGATAGAAAACGTTCTACTAGTTCGAACAGTATACAACTACCTTTGTTTTATACACTTGTACAGAATGATGCAAGAAAAAAGCAGCACAAGTGCAAAAAAATGAGTGAACACTTTTTCGAAACACGACAGTACAATATGTTGGTACGTATATTTTTTTTTCGTTTAACCCATCTGTAAACCAATTTTTTTACCAATTCAGAAGCATTTGGTTGCTCTTGTAAACATTATGCCTTTTGTTGTTGCCATAGATATTCATTAAGAACTATGTAAGAAAGAGGAACACTCGGATAACCATTCTGAGTTTTTTTTATACAGGTTCGTCAAGAGAACTGCCAAATGACGTTCAATCAATACTTACAGCTGGTTTACAAGATAGTTTTGAAAAAATTGATAAATACAGAATCAACTATTGTCTTATAAGAACTTTTTGGCGAGTTGAGAAAAAAGCAAAAGTTACCCTTGTCCATAGAGTCTTTCATGAGCCCATGTAAAAATCGACACTTTAGTGTGTGAATGTTTTTCCTTCTCGTATTAGTTTGTTCTTGGAATGTGTGACAAAAACAAATCATATCTAGATCGAAAGAGAAGGATACTTTCTATCGGTAAATAGAAAAATCATCGTGAGATACGTGCTAATGGAGGAAATCTAGGCTTCAACACTCAGGACCATTATTTTGCATCCTTTGAGCAGTGTGAACATTTTCTCTCATGTTTCTATTTCAGGTTGTATTACTTTACTTATTAGAGTATGACTAGTGAAAAGCAAATAAAGGACGAAAGAGAAGAAAGTGTCATATATTATAATAAAAGAATGTCGTTTCCAGAGCATGTTGATTAATGCAACAAAACGATCGACATATTGCACCATTACTATAGCATCGTATTTTATAATCTTCATTCACCAATATTCTGGATGCATCATATCACATTATAATCAAGATTTTCCTGTTTTATCAAAGACGCATATACACCGACAGTAATAAGTATGAGGCCGGAAGACATATTCTAAAAATGTATTCATTGACAAAGAGCGACATTTCATCATGCTTTTCTTTTATTTGACAACTAATGTACTCGTAGATTGCTTCATATGATGCAGTTAGCTGTCGAATGGAAGGATATTCATGTTGAAGTAATGGGAGATGAATTTATACTGTAGAGTCAATTGGAACACTAATGTCATCATTAATTCGACATTTCATTGGACTTATTAGTAAACCAATAAATATTTTTTTTCTTTTTTTCTGTTCTTTCACTTCATCAAATAGACATATGGGTAAACAAAGAACCTTGAGTGGCACTTATTTCATAAAAAAAAACACTAGTTACAGCAGTTCAACATTCTCTTAACGCTTTTTTTCTTTAATGATGAAAAAAAGAGAAAGAGTAGTGAATACAACATTCACACCTCCTCAAGAATGCCGAATATGTGGTGATATAGCTCGTGGTCTAAATTTCAGTGTGATTACTTGTATGTCTTGTAAAAGCTTTTTTCGTCGACATGCACATAATAAATCGGTAAGTTTTATCTATCTTTAAAAGAAAATTCTATGCCAACAAATTGAATAGCTCTTATCACTCTGCCAATTTGAAAACAACTGCACTATAACAAAAAGAACACGCAGTTACTGCTCACCTTGCCGTTTGAATAAATGCTTTGCGTTAGGAATGGACCCATTGTTAATTCGAAATATTCCTAATTCTAGAACTGTTTCCAAGAAAAAACAACAAATACAAACGTTACAAGACAAACAAATTCAGTTACCTAAAGTAATAATATTTCTTATACTTTCTTTGAGAATGAAATGGTTGTTAATCTTTTTGTCTAGCCTTTACCACTTGGTCTTCTTCAAAATGATCGCTCAATATTGACAACTAATGAATGGACTCTTCTTTCGAATTTCCTTCATACATTTGATGAACGAAATATTTCCAAACAAATTCAATGTTCTGTTAATGAATTATCTTCATTACCTCCGAAATTAAGATCGAAAACATCGGAGCTCACAAATCTTGTTCGCGAGCTCTATGGTAGTGTTGGATCACTTATCGAGCGTTCACCAGATTTTTCTTCTTTATTGGTTCATGATCGCCAAGTTCTCACTAAGAATAATTTATACATAACTGCTATGGTGAATGTATTTTTTTTGTCACGTGAACTAAATCTAATTCACAATATGACTGTTTTCAATGCTAGCAATCAAATGTGTGGATCTGAGTTTGTGATGGAATGCTGTCGAATTATTGCTCGATATGATCCAAATGGAAGTCTTATCAAAATCTTTATATTCATATTAGCTTTTTCGAGTAATTGCTCAATTATTAAATATGATGATCAAATAGATATTTCAATTATGTCAAGCTCAATCAATCTTGTTCGTATTCAGAATGAATATGTGACTGTGTTATGGAAATACTTAGTTTATTTATACGGATTTAAAGAAGCAGTACTTCGCTTTACATGTCTTGTAAAGAATGTTTTAGATTTAGTTAATATGTTAAATCAGACACCTCAAACTGAAACTCGGAACCATATGGTAGGTACAATTGTAACAGAAACAGAACGTATATTGGTGATTGGCCACTGAATTAGACATTCACTTAGCTTTCCATATTACAACAGATGCTTGTGACGTCTAATGAATTTCTTTATTATGAATAATAAAACTTATACAAAAGACATGCTGATGGACATCAATATGGTGCCATCGACGATATTGTTATGTATCGTATAAAGTTGAAATTGATAACAAAGAACTATTGTGTATTAAAAAATACAATAAAATTAAGAGAAAAAGTGCAAAGATATTTGATCGAAAAATATTGAAAAAGCAATCTTTATGAGTAAAAATAAAACTTATAATAGCAACCTGTAAATTAAACAGCAAACATGGAAATATGTTTGACATTTTTGAAGGTATACCACGTTTAATGATAGTATTTCTGGTAAATAATGCAATTCAAATCCTTAATTTTAAACTGAATACTACCTGACGTGTTTGATTTCAGTTTATTTCTACAACTGAATTCTATTTGGTAGTGCTAGTTCCCGTGAAAAAAAATTTGTACAAAACAGTGTTTCACTGCCCATTGTGAGAAAAAACTGGCATTTTCGTGTTTGAAAGTATCGTTTGATTGCAACACGTCTAGGGACATAATGAAGTAATAAAAGCTGAATATTCGTGCACAAATGATGAAACAATTACCAAATACTTCATGTTTTCGACAAGAAAAAATCATGATATGTGCATAGGAAATCCTATCATAAGTCTTCAACGATGTTTCGTTAATATATTCATCATTATTATGAAGAATAAGATCTGTTATTTGAGGTTTAAAAATATGTCAAAAGACTGAATCATCTGTGAGAACAAAAAAGACACAATGGAATGAAGTGTTTCTGTATTTTGATCTGTTGATAACTTAGAGCATGTTAAATGCTTATGTGTAAAATAACGAATAACTGTTTCTCGTCCGAAATTGAAGAGTTCTAAAGAAGTGAAATTTGGATAATCACCAGAAAGAAGAATATATTACATGGATATTGTTTTGTGAATAAGTTTTTCAATACAATAGTGAATTCGATATAATACAGAAGTGAAAAATCAATCAAGTTTATCAGTAAAATTTGATAATCTTCTTACAATATTGAGAATTTTAGAAAATACATAATCTTGTGCTAGAACATCAAGTCATGCATTATTAATACTAAACAATCAATAGAGAACATCAATATTGTTGAATTTCTTCAAGATGACAATCAATATTTCATTGTGTAGATCAAGAAGATGAATGTCTAACTGATTCATATTTGTTTTAAAACTGTCATATCTTCTAAAAACACACATTCATATATAAATAATATAGAAATGCAGCTTTTTTTGTGTAAATCTACTTTGGTCAACAATAGCCATGAGTGATTCGTGTTCACTTGCCAATGATACATTTGTCTCCTCACCTGTAGTAATATTACATAAACATGAGTTTCACCAAGTTTTCACAACACATTCTAATCTATTCCTACTTTTGCTCATCACTAAGTTGATGAGACAACCAATGTCATCTTCGGACAATCATAGATTATACATTCTATTGTGTCATGAGAGAGAGTGAGAGCGAAGTCTCAGCTAGAATAGAATCATAAGTTGAATTCGTGTCATTTTTGATAACGTGTCGTACTAGTCCAATATTTACATCTATTAGCTTCAAGATCGAACAATCAAATCAAAGATCAGCATTAATATTTTCTCTTTCTTCATGAAAATGCTTTGCTCTATTCCTTAAATCTCATGTCATCAAAATCATACAAAAACCGGCGATTTTATCGAGATTATTCAAATAATATTTCTGATGATTCGATTTGGTCGTAGTATTTGGACGTAGAACTGTGATTAAGTTTTGAAGCGTATACAAACATCATTTACCATCGTGCTCATTCACGTTACTAATGAATGAAGAAAGAGATGATTTTTTTCTACTCACCCATAGTAAATTATGTTAACTGTTCATTGAGATAATTAGATGACCTAAAGAGATAACGATTTCAAGTGATAAATTGTTTTGTCAGTTCAAGCTCTTAGCAGTACTTAGAGTCGAAAGAAATATGAAAAGTTCCAGAAGGAAAAATGCGCGTTGGCTTTCTTTCTCGAATTATAGCCGTTTTACACGAACTTTGGACTATGGCCCGATGTGTACCAACAAATTGAATAATGACATGTTCATGTGAAATTTAGCCCACAGATAGCTCTACTTGCGACTAGAATTTTCTGAAAATTTGAACTGAAAACAATGTCCACTTTGTGAGATATTGATTTTCAGATTTTATGAGAATTCAATATCTCACAGAGGAAAGATTCTTTTGCCCTGAAATTTTCAAAACATTGTAATCACAAGTAAGCCAATCTGTGAACCAAACTTCAGACAAAAACGTCATCATTTTAATTTCTGGTGCACATCGTGTCATAGACTAAAATTTGTGTAAAATGACTATAACTCTGGAAGGAGGATCTAATGATATTCTTCCTCCTGGAGTTATTCATATCTGTTTGGAATCTAGTTACTGTTTTAAGTCTGATTTCGAAAATGATTTATGACTTGAAACAAGTCCCCTATAAACAGACGAACAAAGGAATTTATTTTTATATAATAATACTTACTGTAGAATTTTGTTGAAAAATCGCCGATTAATCTGCAACAATGACACAATTTTGGTGGCATAGGATAGTCTGAACTTAAATATAGTATTTATCGAATTCATTATTCATTTAATGTTATTGTATAATTTATCAAAAACAAGACATTCTACTATTTATTCATACAATAGACTTCCCAATGTTAATTGATTTATAGTACATATTGATCAAATCTATTCATTTTAAATGTTTTTTCCAATCAACGCGCGTATTTTTTGCCTTTTTTTTTTATTTTGCATATTTCTTACATTATATTCGACCGAAAACAGATAACTAATAAAAAATATAGCATTTTTTATCTTGTATTAATCTTTTTTTTTTTCATCACTTCGATCAAATATTTTTGAGAACAAAAGCAATGGTCTATCGTGATCGTCAAGGTGTATCACCAACGAATGATCCAATTCAAATATCAAATAATCGTGATCGTTATTTAGATAATTGTTTTTTATTATGTATTAATCGTAATGATGATGCAGATATACCTGAAATTCATCGGTTAGATAATAATAATCTTATACGAGAATTATGTAATAAAAATCCATTAAATCAAATTAAATCACAACAACAATCAAAACTTTATATACAAAATCAACGAGAACCAAGAATCGAAAATCATGATTATGATGATAATGATAATAATGATAATGATGACGATGATAATATAGTAAGATTATCAAAACAACAAAAACATCCTGATTATATTTATAGACAAAAAAAGAATCAGTATGATCGAGATTCTCGATTCATAACAAATAGCTCAAAATATCAACCAAATAATACAATTGATAATTACTATGCTTATGATCAATATTCACCAACAGCTAAATATAATTATCATCGTAATGATTATAATATAATGCAACATAGTGATGATGAATTATCTGTATATGAAGTAAGTTAATTGTAATTATATTAATATAAATATTTTATTTTAGGTATATGTACCAACAAATACATTAAATCGTTTAGGAGATAAACGAATAAATAATAATATGGTTTTAATTAATTATGAAGATGCATCAGTATTGCGTGATATTCGACAACCAACATCACCTTATGGACAGCCACAACAAGTATGATATCAAAAAAAAAAAGAAAAATTATATTTTTAATTAATAAAAAAAACACTAATGCAACAAAAATATTTAATTATAGAATATATCCTCACAATACAATAATTATGTACCTTTAAATCAATATAATGAATATAGTCCACAATATCCATATGACTTATCATCAGATTTAACTAGAATACGTAATGACCAACAACAATTTTATCAAAATACTTCATTGCAACAACAACAACAACAACAACCACGATTAGGTAATTATTATAGAAATAAAGAAGTTCGAACATTTTGTAAGTTTAAATGTTGTCTATTGAATTTATTTTTAGACTCACCACAATCTGGTCCATTTTTACCAACAAATATTCCAATTGATCATTCAAATGCAATTAATATTCGTCGTCATATGTATTCACCATCTCAACTTCCACAAGGTCTTACTGAAGGACAACTTGTTATGTTATTACAAAAAGGTAGTCAATATCAACAAATTAAATCTGGATCAACAGGACAACAAACACAACTTTTTCCTAATCAAAAAGAGACACAAGTATATGTTTATTAACAATTAAAGAATTCTATATATGCATATATAATTATTATATTAGCCATCAACAACTACAGCAGTAACAGTTGCTCCTCAAGCTACCGTACTACCAAGTATTTCTATAGAAGCTTTAAAAAGTCCTTCATATGGTTAGTTTTCTTCTATGATGGATGTCGAAGGAATGATGAGCCATGTTTTGTTTTTATGTAATCAATGAAAATTTCAGAGAAGATTGATTCGATAGAGAATTTAATTCATCAGAAACTCTTGTATTTGAAATTTTCAGAGCGCAATTAACATTGGATAAGCATTAAAAATATGCATACATATTCGAATTTCAAAACTGTACTTAGTTAAAATTTGTAAAAGAGTCTCTCTCTATCTCTTTGAGCTCGTTTAGAAAAATTTCCGCCTAGATTTTAAAAAGAATCATAATTATGTATCCAACTTTCACACTCTTCGATTTTTTTAGCTGTAGACGAATAAAATTTTAATAAATCCCTCGATTTATAGTGTTATCTATCTATTCGAATTGGGAAGTTCTTTTAACCGATTCAATTGCAAAATATGAGCATAAGTGGGGTCTAAGAACGGCTAGTGAACTTATAAACTACTCAAATCGATAGATAGAGCCCGTTGGATTCAAAAATTTTCAACTCAGACTCGAACCTGCGCTTGTACGAATCATATTTTGATACTATCAATGAAATCTTCTGATCGAAGATGGATAATCACCCAGATGATACAAGATAATTTTTTCTGGTTTCTTTTTTATTCGG